GTCACCTAATGAGAATGGAACCAACGATGCCAGCATCAAGAGCATACAACATGAAAATCGAAACAACAAGAGGCAGGGGAAGACCAAGAAGAAGATGGATTGAAGGAGTCACGGACAACTTGAGACTTCATAACATCACGGCATATGAAGCGACTGAGCGCGCCCTGGCTCGGTTGCCGATCATCTGATAGACTGCGACGCCTTGCGGCACAAGCAGATTTTGACAAAAGAAGAATAAAAGGATGTCAACTGAAGTTTGCCAACAAATATCTACAAAAGTGTCAGTTCGTCTGTTAGATTATTTGCTCTGTGAGAACAGATGGGGGTGTACATCAAGAAACGTTCCACAGACTCACTTCCTGTAATGTATCATGCAGTAAACATCACCTAATATGTTTGTGAGATCCCTGGCATGAAATCTACACTTACTTAATAATACTTTAATTCTTTTACTTCTTCAAGGATAGTACAAAAAACTTGTGATGTCATTAATTTAAAAAAAAATTTCGCGTAAACATTGGTAGATCAATGTGATGAAGTCCATTTTTCCAGAATTTCCCACAATTTTGAGATGTTCTCAAAGAAAGGGTCAAATTCGTCTAGAAGCACTAGTATCCCATTTTGTACTGACCCTGTAATCTGATTCTCTCCATGAAATGGCAGACATCTGGAGGCGGTTTCATACACCTCTCGTAAAAATACTTTATGCACAGATTCCTGCTCTCATATATATATATATATGTGTGTGGAGTCACTGTGCGTGGAGTCACCTTTATTTTTGTTCCGGGACACGCAGGCGTCGATGGAAATGAAAGAGCTGACAGGTTGGCTGGATCCGCTATCACTACCGACGGTCGGCCTATGGATCATGCTGATATTATCAATGCCCTCAGAGAAATGGGAAGGATAGAGGACTTTGGTGGCAGTGAATCCACATCACTCGCCAGAATGGCAGACTTGGGAATTAAGATCGGCACAGCAAAAAACGAGACGCACACCGGACACGTCAGAAGACTTGTTAATCAACATAGAACTGGTACTATTAGCCATCGGACGTTGGGGTTCATACTGAGGGGAGGATCTGAGCACCTATGGACATGTCCGGAGTGCAATGACGATAACCCAACTAACTAACTAACTAACTAATATATATATATATATATATATATATATATATATATATATATATATATATATATATATATATATATATATATATATAATGTTGTAATTGAGGAAAACTGTTCTTAACGAGGGCGGATGTTGTAGTCACACTCGCCATCGCCATGGGCTGTGAGTCACATACCTCCTCGTAGCGCACTATAACACTATGGTCTGGAAAGATGTAAGTGTGCAAACACACACACACACACACACACACATATATATATATATATATATATATATATATATATATATATATATATATATATATATATATATATATATATATATATATATATATATATATATATATATATATATATATATATATATATATATATATACACACAACTAACTTTTAACTTGCCGTCTGGCGTGGGCGATCTTGCCCCTCGACACTCTGCAGCATGTATTGGTTCGTGTGCTGACACACCTCCATGCTATGCGACAAGACTGTCAAGAGTCTTCTCTCGTTGTCTTCCTCTATCCCTCCTTCCGCAGATCTTTCCAGTGGTCCGTTGTTACTTCACAATTTGTGCATTGATCAACAGCCATGTCTAACTCGTCATAAAATGCGTCAATATCTTCCTCAGCCTGCTACCCAAGGATATATATATTTATATAAGAAAGAATGGGACAGAGAGGGTGAGAGAAAGAAAGAGAAGGGGAAATATAGTTTTGGTTTTTATATTCCATTTGATTCATTTAAATGTCTAATGAAAGTTTTGTAAAGGACTAGTTATTTAGCATTCACATATTATCATAGGGCCCTTATGTTCGTTTGGCCTCCAGGCAATTACCCAGCCAACCCATGCATAAGAGCCTCAAGTGAGACCCTGGAACCAACACAAGGTCAGAAAGAATCTAAGAAGATACATTCGCCTGTGTTAGCAGAAGATCACTTACAACGGGGTTTTGGAAATAGCAAGTATAACTAAATTTTCTCAATGCACAGTCTTTAAAAAACTCAGATTAGAGGAGGGTGAAGTCACTAAGGACTTCTACTGTGGTGAATTACATAAAGGTACAGGATGTCGAGGTCTTATTTACTGCAGTAATAAGATAGATGCATGCAGGACAAGAATTATACAGGTATTGAGAAAGATTCGGGGTAACAGGGGTTCAGAGACCTTGTTGTACGGAGGGGAACATCAGATGTCAACAGTGTTTAAGAGACTTTGATGTACGGAGGGGAACATCAGATGTCAATAGGGGTTCAGAGACCTTGTTGTACGGAGGGGAACATCAGATGTCAACAGGGGTTCAGAGACCTTGTTGTACGGAGGGGAACATCAGATGTCAACAGGGGTTCAGAGACCTTGTTGTACGGAGGGGACAATCAGACGTCAACAGGGTTTAAGAGACCTTGTTGTACGGAGGGGAGCATCAGATGGCAACAATAGTCCTGAAATCCTAATATCAGACTTTAAAAGACTCGTTTCTAATTGCTTTTTCCAATCTTAAATAAGGCGAACAGTTCTTTGTTGTCATCGCCATAGTTTTTTCTCACCTTACCTCTAGCACAATATAAAACTATGGATTATAAAACGGAATCTTCATCATCATCATCATAGTCGTATGCCCTACCAGTTGGCGTAGGCGCTCATGTGTCTCCACAGATCACGATCCTTGGTTGCCTAGAACAGCTCTCTTGATGATATCCCTCCATGCCATCGTGTCAGCCCATCCAGCGTCATCTCTCTTGGTCTGCCTCTACCCCTCTTTCCACTAATCTTTCCAGTCGTCACGATTTGCTCCAATGCCTCTCTTCTTTTAACATGGCCAAAGAACAGTGTATGTCTCCTTCTTATTGTTGTATATAGAGATCTACTTTTATTAGCTTCTTTCAAACAATCTTTGTTAGTTGCTCTGACGGTCCAAGATATTCGTAACATTCGTATCCGAAACCCCACATCTCTGAATGTTTTTTTTTTATGCGGGGTGGGGGCGGGCGGGGGGATACTTTATTTGGAATTTATAACAATAAAATACATAAAAAAGATTAAGATTGGACAGTTTCATTTCGTCTGTAGCAACGACCGTCAAACATGCACCTCTTTTTTTTTTATCGTTAAGGCAACGACCGTCAAACATTCACCTCTTTTATATTATTGTTAAGGCAACGACCGTCAAACATTCACCTCTTTTATATTATTGTTAAGGCAACGACCGTCAAACATTTACCTCTTTTATATGATAGGTAAGGTCTCCCTGGATTATTTGCTAGAAAGACGTGCTGGTACTTAAATTTAAAAACACACAACAACAATGTGTCTGCACGACATGGACTGGCACCTTTCCGTATTTCCAGACAAAGGTGTTTTATTGTGCTATGTGAAGGCATGAGACATGATACGTACAGGGATGAAGTTCTTCCCCCCCCCCCACCCACCCCAATAGTACACCGTTTGGGCAGTGTTGTAGAGACCATATGTTGTCCATGCATCATGATCCCTCACTTGACCGGTCTTGTTTACTCCAAAGGAAAGGTAACACTAGTACTTTTAAAACGAAGCTAGTTGCAGAGGCTGCCGGATCAGACAAGCAGTGCTCTATCTGTCCGACTGCAGAAGCTTTCCTTTTAGAACAACTGCCAGCCAAGGCTATAGGCCTGGTCTGCCCTGCAATAACATAAATTTTCAGGTTGCAGTTCCTCTTTCTGGGATAAGGCTAGTATCCTTCCCAATGCGCTCCCCCGCCCGAAGCCATTGGCACAATATGGGATGTCAGGTTTCGTATACGCCGCCCAACATTTTGCGTTAGTAGAATACAGATGGTACTGGCTACTATTAAACGGTAGTAGCCTTGTCATATTTGACCAAGACCCGAAAGCCTTGCAGGACAGAATACTGTTGACAGTAATGTTTTTTTTTTTTTTAAATTCGAAGTCTTGATTCTGTTCAAAATAAACGATTATTTCTTCATATTCTTCTTCTTATGATCTATGTCGTATATCTATCCACTTTCAATCGATTCTGACGCAGATGATCCTCCATGCCATGAGGTCAAACTGTCCAGCATCTTTTATCATTCTCTCTCTCTCTGCCTTCTTTCCTTTCTAAATTTCTCACATGTCCTTCCCATGACATGACAAACGCATGTAGATTGTCCGCTGGTGTGGTTTATCAGTTTTCGTTGTGTGCTACTGCAAGACATCTTAGCTACTCTTTATTTATCTGTCTAGAGTGTTCTCATTGTTCGCCTATAAAACCGCATCTCGGCTACTTCCACGTATTGTTTTCTTTAACCGTGATTCACTCCCACAAATGTTAAATGTTGAATTAAGAATCGACTTCATAGCACTCGTGAAACCCCCATAAGCGCTCAGTCCCCATCTTTGGCAGCAAGGGAAAAGTTCCCCTTCCAGTGGCATCAGTAACTGTCTGATTGTATATCCGTCTCGCCCTTACCTTGAGTGTGGAGCTTCGACAAAATCCCCTGACTTCCACATATGATGACGGGAACTACAAATTTCTCTATGGATGACATATTTCTCTATAGATGACATATTTCTCTATGCATGACATATTTCTCTATGGAAGACATATTTCTCTACGGAAGGCAAATTTCTCAATGGATAACATATTTCTCTATGGATGACATTTATTTCTATGGATGACATATATCTCTATGGATGACATTTCTCTATGGATGACATATTTCTCTATGGATGACATATTTCTCTATGGATGACATATTTCTCTATGATGACATATTTCTCTATGGATGACACATTTCTTAACAGTTTACAATTATAAACTATTCTTTAACTTGTCCACAAAAGTCACACAAATCTTTTGATTACTTTCTTGTAAAAAAAAATTCCTAGATTCAAATCATACTAAAAATGTTGCTCCCAAATCTACTAGTTGTTGTACAACTTGTACGTGGCCATGAATAGACGCTATAGACATGGCCGTGTTGCCATGGTTATCATACAAATCTACATCCGCCCCATGCCGAATCAATTCACGAATACACTCAAAGTGACCGTACTTAGCTGCGAGCATTAGGGCCGTTTTCCCGCTCGTCTTTCGAGCATTCACGTTGGCCCCGCTTTGCAGAATCGCCAGCAAGCAGTTAACGTGTCCATTAGCTGCAGCAGACATCAATGCAGTCCAGCCATTTCTCAAGCTATCTGTGCCACATTCATCAACATCAGCACCTTTCCTGATAAGTAGTTGAACTACATTGAGCTGTCCATGTTGTGCCGCTTGAGCTAAAACTGTCAACGAATTGTTGTTACGTGCATTAACGTTAGCACCGTGGTGGAGAAGTAGTTCCACCAGATCAGTTAGTCCGTTCTCAGCTGCTAGGATTAGGGATGAATCCATGTTGGCTCCAGAATCTATAAGTAACTTTACAATGTCTTCGTGTCTGCTGGTAAATGCTAGGACTAACGGTGTTTGAGCGTTATTATCTTGTACATCTATTAGTGCACCTTTGAGAAGTAAAAACTGCACACATTCTGAATGACCAAACTGGCAAGCTATCATTAGAGCTGTTTTTCCGGTCGCTTTGCTTATATTTAGATCAGCTCCGTTGTCAGTTAATAGTTGTACACACTCAAGATATCCTTTCCGGACTGATGACATTAGAGCTGTCCAACCGTCTTTCCATCCTGCACTGCCACGAGCATTGACGTCAGCACCAAAGGAGATAAGTATTTCTGCACATCGAACGTGCCCGTTTTGACAAGCGCCCATTAGGGCCGTCCATCCATCGTGTTTAGTCTGGTTCACGTTTGCCCCAGAGCTCGCAAGTAGCTGGACACACTTTGCATGTCCATTCTGGGCAGCTGATAGAACTGAAGACGCACCGCTGTTATCGGCAGTATGGAGGTCTGCTCCAAATTCAACAAGCACCCTCACAGATTCGTAATGCCCTCTCTGTGATGCGTTTATTAAGGCGGATTCTCCATTTTTGTTAGTCGTATTTATACAAGCCGTATTTTCGATTAACAACTTCAAACACTGAACACAACCGCACAGTGCTGCTAAATGTAAAGGAGTACGGCCATCTGACAATGAGGCGTTCACGTCAGCTCCTTTTGCTAGAAGCAGTTTGGCACAATCTGTCTGGCCATTATGTATCGCGATCATTAGAGCCGTCCAACCATCTATTTCTCGTTGATTGATATCTATATCTTTATCTAACAGAGTGTTCAGACATTTTACATGTCCGTTTTTAGATGCTGCCATCACTGGCGACCAATGAGAGGCGTCTATTACATTCACACAAACGCCGCAATCGATAAGGAACTTCACACAGTCTAAATGGCCAAATCTGGCAGCTTCTAGGATAGCAGTCTGGCCGTTATTTTTGGCTAAACGAATATTTGCCCCGTTTTCATGAAGTATCCGCAGACACTGAAGGCGCCCAGCTTCGGCAGCAATAATCGTCGCGGAGCTGCCATCTTTGTCCGTTTGGTTAACATTAGCTCCCCTCTGAATGAGTAGGCGGGCAACGTCGGTGTTGCCATATTTGGATGCTAACATGAGAGAGGTCAACCCTTTATCATCAAATCTGTTCACATCAGCCCCTCTGTCAATTAACAACTGGGCACAGGCAGCATGTCCACTTCTAGAACTCAGCATCAATGACGTTTTTCCCTTCAGTTTACAAGCGTCGACCTTAGCGCTTTTATCCAGCAGAAAGCGGACACAAAGCTCGTGTCCCTGTAGCGAAGCGGACATTAAAGCGGTGAAACCCGCCTTCCATCCATATTTTCCGCTTGCATTAACATTCGCTCCTTTGGCTACAAGTAGTGTCACGCAGTCGACGTGCCCGTTCTGGCAAGCAGCCATTAAGGCAGTCCAGCCATCCGTGTAAGACAAGTTTACATCAGCTCCGTTTTCTAAGAGGATTTCAGCGCAACCTGTATGTCCATTCTGACATGCTAACACGAGTGCCGTACAACCGTCCGTCTTTTGCATATTAACATTAGCATTGCTATCGATAAGAAATTGTAGACATTCAGCTTGACCCAGCTCAGCAGCGGCCATAAGAGCTGTCCAACCGTTGGTTTGGCTCCTATCAATCAAAGCCTGGTTGTCAATCAGTAATTTGACACACTCCACGCTACCTGATCTTGCTGCAGAGATGATGGGGGGAGATCCTTTCCTGTCTCGAGAATTCACATCCGCCCCTTTATTGATCAGTAATCGCACACATTGTAGGTGGCCGCCGAGACACGCTTGGTGTAAAGCTGTTCTCCCTTGTTTGTCAACCTTGTGTAAATCTGCTCCTTCGTCCAGAAGCTGTTTAACACAATGATCGTGACCTGCCTTAGACGCCGCCATCAACGCTGTCACATCATGTTGGTCTTGAAAATTAACATTTTCACATTTACAGTATGTGTGCAAATCAGTGACTCTTCCATTGGAAGCTGCTTGAGTGAGCGACGCCTCATTTGTGCCCTCTGGAGGAGAACATTGTGGTGAGCCAGTTGTCAGATGGAAACTTGTCTGTGAAGAGCTTGGGATACTTTTCATATCATCTTCAGGTGGTCTTGTTTTGTTGCCTGGAGACAGAAAGAAAAGGGAAACTATTTGTTAATTAGGAATAATACTTACTAGAGACAAGTAGATCGTATTGTTCACATTACAGTGAGATAGTGTTATAATACGTCAGTAGAGGGAATATTTAAAGATTGTTTAACAAGAGGTAGACCAAGTAACAATGGGGTTATAATATCAAGCGGCGGATGCTGTGTAGGATTTAGGTAAAAGCTAAATAAGCTACAGTTTAAGCCCTCACAATCTACAGGGGCCTCAATCATTCTTGTGTTTTGCTTCACAAATTCAGTTTCTTTTCGTATTCTGTTTCTAGCCAAAGACTGGACCGAACATTTACAGAACTGTCTTGAAAAAGAGAAATTTCAACACAAAAATCATATCAAATTATCTTTGAGGGCAATATATGTTCTGCTGCTTCTTCTTTTTCTCCAGAATTCCTAACCTTGAGGTTCAATGCTGCAGATGTCACCCGCCTCCATCGTCTCTCTGGTCGGCCTTCTGGATGGTGACACCAAGTATTTGTAGATCTGTCTGGACGTTACTTCTCCATCGTCTCTCTGGTCGGCCTTCTGGATGGTGACACCAAGTATTTGTAGATCTGTCTGGACGTTACTTCTCCATCGTCTCTCTGGTCGGCCTTCTGGATGGTGACACCAAGTATTTGTAGATCTGTCTGGACGTTACTACTCCATCGTCTTCGTTGCGTGCTACGTTGTCTACGATCATCAACACCCTTGTAAACATTTATTTAACCTTTCTGTCATCTGACATTCGTTGAATATGCCCCAACATTTCAGTCTATTAGTACTCATGATGCCAGTTATTAATGGTGATTTAAACAGATTATGAATTTCGCTGTTGCTTCCCACTCCCCTTTCCCCGCTGTTTGCATCTTTGATTGGTCCAATCATTCCTAGTTACCTGTTGTCACAAATGTGCAATAGGACTTTATCTAGCTTCCATTATTATTGAGACAATAGTTCGACTATAGATGTGTCTATTGGTTACACATTTTTCAGAAGATATTAAATTTTTTAAATCAAGGAAAGGGGGGGGGGGATGGGGGAGAAAAAAAGGGGGGGGGGGGGTTTTAGCTCTAAAAGCATTTTAGAGGATTATTTATGTGACTTTGTAAACGCATTCTTTGTTAGTAAACAACAAAATATTTCCATTATCCATACATGTGAAAGGCTTATATATTCTAGCATTCTCTGATAATTTCTGGTGTAATTTTTTTAAACAGTATGGATCTCAAGGCTTTTTATAGCTTAGAGACGCGTCTAAGTCCCGTCTGGTACTGGTCAACAGTACACTCGCAAATACACTCCGAAGGAAGAAGGCAAATGGCTTCATCAGTTTATTATAGAGAGCCTTATATAAACACGTGACAACTCAGACAAAGTGTTATCACTACTGACAGTATAAAGGTTTAAAGGCAAGCTATGGTCGCATCCTGGGTAAGATGGTTAATTTTCTTCCGTCAGAGGATAAAATAAAATGCTAACTGCATATCCTTGGCGACAGCACTAACCATGCCGTATCAAATCCTCAGACTCAAAGACCCCACCCCCCTTCCCACTCATTTGTTTTGCCTACACCATGAAAGTGGTAATTATATGCAGCAATTGCAGTTTTGAGAAATTCAGATGCAAGTAGAAGCAATTTCAATTTAAAATAAAGAAATAAAGTAAACACTATGAACAAACAGCCAGATGTAAGATTGAGCGAGCAGACCAAGTGTCGAATAATGCACAATTTCATTTTAGCAGAAATGTGCACAGGGCTAATATAATCAACGCTATATGAACTAGTCGGCTCTGTGGCTAAGTCGATGCGAACGCTTCGCTTCGTAATGCCGGGATGCCGGGATCGATCCCAGCTGCGGGCAATGCGCCTTGCGTTGGTTTCGACAGTGGTATCAAGAAAGCCGACCGTCCAGGAGCAATGGCAAACTACTGGACTTAAATTTGCCTAGAGAAACCACACAACAGCCAGGGGCTGTTAGGGTTGGTTCTGCAACGTCCTGTAAAGGATACGCAACAACCTTTATATGAACTAGAATTGGGGTGGACAATGACGAGTCTCGAACGCTAGCCTGGTTACGTGACCTGGTCGTAAATCCTAGTGAAGCCCGCCCTTGCCGTCTGTGATATTAAGGTAGCAGACGTCTAACTTGTCATGGGAACAATCAATAGAGGTTCCTACGGGTTCTTGCCGAGCACGCATGGGAACATATTGGCGTGGATGAAAATTACAGTTTTACTAAATTTTGGATTTTCGTCAGAGAGCTACCCCTCCCCCACACCACTGAAATGTAATGGTGTCAAAAAGCACGAACTCCATAGCACCAACCACATGTACTCGAGAGCCAAAGGATGGTGTCCAGAACGTAACTCACTAATGCTCAAGCGAAAGACAAATGGCTTAACAGCAATGATATTGGTTAATCAATATAAATACCTACAGTTGGACTTTGTCTGGTCAGCTCTGCGTTCTATGGAAGCGCTGTCCGTTTCATAATCGTTGTTGTTCGTTCTTGCTTCAAATTCTCTCCTTAAGCTCTCTGATGAAGATGTTATTGAGCAAATGCAATCAAATCAAAAGAAAAATTAAACTATATGAGTAGTAGTAGTAGTAATAGTAGTAGTAGTAGTAATAGTAGTAGTAGTAGTAGTAGTAGTAGCAGCAGCAGCAGTAGTGGTAGTAGTAGTGGTGGTAGTAGTAGTAGTAGTAGTAGTAGTAGTAGTAGTAGTAGTAGTAGTAGTAGTAGAAGTAGTAGTGTTAGTAGTAGTGGTAGTAGTAGTAGTAGTAGTAGTAGTAGTAGTAGTAGTAGTAGTAGTAGTAGTAGTAGTAGTGGTGGTGGTGGTAATAGTAGTAGTAGTAGTAGTTGTTGTTGTAGCAACCGCTATCTTATTCATACTACGTCCTTTTTAGGACGAGATTTTTTGTTATTTGAAGCCCCACGCTGGCTTTTGCCAGGGGCCGCAATATAGGCAGGCCATAAATATGACCAATTGTCTGAACGCGGATTCTGGGACCTCTCCACGGTGATCCTCATCCACATGGTAACACTTTGTGTCATCGGGTGTTTGTCGCTTGTGTGATGTCCTAGTGGGGTAGAAAGTCAGTCAGTCATTAGCAACCGCTTTCAGAAGTAAAGATACTTCAAAGCTAAACCGACTGCCTTGCTATCCGCAATATAGGGCTGGAGGTTTCCTTGTTTTAACTATTAGATCTCCTAACTAGAAGTAAACAATTGACTATTTATTGGCCTCTGACTAGCAAAATGGAGGTCAAGATGGACGATAGACGGGTTTGTTGTTTTTAGTCGTGGTAAATTGTCGCTTCTGACAATAGGTGACCGTTGCATTTTCCTCCTTATGTAGACTGAAAGGATATAGTTTTGTTGCTTAGCTACTAAGTTGATGCATCACGCGACATTGTGAGCTGCGGATTTCATTTAGTGTTTTTCGACTGTGCCCAACCTAGTTTGTTTTGTGACATGTAGATTCAGACAATGGTCTGCGGTGCCTCATGTGATTAATCGCTAGTCAACTACTGATATGTTTCATTAGGAATAAACTGCAATTCTAATGGCGGACTGATTGCATTGGCACTTCTTACGGCTGCCTTATACATTTAATATGCATATGCTTTTGGGTTTGCTGAGACTGCAGTTTGTGTAATTTTTCCAGAAGGGCCAGGGATGGATTATCTGTGTTGTTTCTGTTGACATAGGAATGAGGCAGAAATGGGTGTGACCATTCTGTTATTAAGTTGCAGTTGCGACAACTTGATTACAACATGAACAATTAAAAAAAAAATTGCGTCAGTACGAATTCAGGCCAAAAGACTTCGGGTAGAGACACACATAACTAGTCAGCGCCCTTTTACAGGAAGTACTGTAGCCAATAAACATATACGAGTCGACTTAGATGCATGCTCGTGGTACAAAATACATGTACAACCGCTATTTTAAAACAGATATTAGTCGATAGTTCATTACCTCCCATACTGGAATCAACATGTCTCATGTAACGGCAGTAAAGGCTGCTGTGTGCCGTGCCACAAAGGGTACCCATATTCAATCTTTGTAATATAAAAAAGGAAGGTGGGGGTGGGGGAAAAGGGGGGGGGGGTGTCTGACCTTAAGTCCTGAACAATAAGTGAATACAGCACACATTTATCTGCATCCTCGGAGATGTAGTTTAAAACGAAAATGCCTAGAATTCCTTGAACAGTAAAACTTTGTGATCAAAGAAACGACAACTCGAGATTCTGGAAGCCAGTCAGAGAATATTCTTCACAGCTTTCCGTCATGATGAAGACGGGTTTGGTGGGGCGCGAAATAATGTCTGCTGTTAGAGAAGTATGACCACCCCTCCAGTGGCCATCGAAATTTGACTCCTACCTGTTTTCTTTTCCAGGATGCTAGCCACATGGCCCATCTTCATACTACTGTCCCTGAGAACGGTCATCAAACACCGAAACCAGTCTCTTTTGTGACTTATTACATCCAGTAATTCATTAGCACCTTTGCAGTTTCCTTTTTTCTCTGTGATGAGATCAACGCGACTCTGTGAAAATATTTCATCAAAAATTAGTTCAAGAGTACATGGGACATTCAAGTAACTTCAGAATCATCAATTTCTACCTCTGCCATTAAGCGTTCTGGGATGGAACAGTTTGCAATCCATTGCTTGGTTGGCAGCAATGGCCATTGTCATTCGGTGTCGATGTAGAAGCTCTGTAATGTCATCAGTCCCTATTCTCCTAGGGCGGCCTCTTGATTTTACTCAAGATCTTTCCAAGTGTAGCACCTGCGTTTAAAGATGTACTGGCTGCGTTCTTACTAGATGACCAAACAATGTGATCTTCTGTTTCTCAATTAATTTGCTGGTTGTGTTTGTTCAGTCTGTCTGATAATATCATTTATAACTTTATATGGAATGGTTAAGTTGGCGTCTTTTCTCAGCCATCTCATTGTACATATGTTGATTTTAGGTAGGTTAACCTTTGATATTGTCAAAGTCTGGCACTGGTAGCACAGTGTTGTTATGAATATGTTGTTTGTAATCTCTTTCTTGATGCTTAAAATACTAATCTTTAGATGTCTTAATATTACTTTACATATGCAAAAAAGGAGAAGAGATAAGTAAGAAAATGATTTAGTCACTCTATTGGCGCACAGGGAATATTTTAGTCACAGTAGGGCATCATTTTCTTCTCCATTGTGGCGCAACAGGCATATGCGACTAGCTTATGGACCAATTGGGCCTCGATCGGGTCAACATCACGCCGGCCACCTTTACCTCCCAGAACTCTACCTGGTAATCATTTAAGCTTGCGTCGATCTGGGAGCCCAGGAGACTGATCAGGTTTCTAAATTTAAATAAACCAATTAACAGTCGGTGGGTGATGTAGTCACACCAGTCGCCATTACTTCCCAGGACGTTTTCTCATACCAGTTGCAAGCTTAGTCTAACTGTGAACCCGGGGAGGCAAATCAGATTATAGAATAAGGCGCTCGCCTCCGTTCATGCAAAATATAATCACCTTCCTGTGCAATGACTTATCAAAGTCAGGAACATTTACTGTCACACTTTCCCCAGACACACAGGCACAAACACAAACACAACAACACACGCACACAACACACGCACACAAAACATATATACACACACACACACACACACACAAATAATATGTATATTTTTATAACAGAAAAATATTTGTCATTTTGTCTCCTTCCCATCCCCCCCCCCCCCCCCATCCTTTTTCTTCCCCCCTCCATTTCGGCCTCCTTTTCTCGGTGTTGGCTGGCTTTAATTTGTACTCACAGGGGAAATAACTGTTATATTTTCGCCTTGTTGCTAGAGTAGTGGATCAGGTATCCGGCCTTTGAGCGCAAATCAAGCCCAAGTTTACCGTAACAGTGACCTTAGTAAGTGGACATAGAAATAGAAAATAGCAAGATGCTAAAGAAGACTTACAAAATCTATAAAAGTATACTGAATTCAATTAAATAATCTCACAATATTTACGAAAATATTTTTAAATTCAATTATTCAAACTTGCAACCTCTATGATAATGTAGGTAAATGAAGTTACACTAACTTCCATTCTCTTTAAAAAAAATGAATTTTAATACATGATACAAAATCACATTTGGCTTTGCCATGAGCCCTAAATATAGACTGACTGCTAAAAGGAGCTTTCGGGACTTGTGTTCAAATTAAATTGTCTAGGAAAACATCTTTAAATTCAGATATTCACACTTACAATCTTTATGTAAACATCCTTCAGTTCGTTGGACAAATACTGTCTTCCAATGTTAGGAACTTGTATTTTTTTTTTTGGGGGGGGGGGTGAAGGGGGGGGGGGGCTTGGGGTAGGTTATTTTAATGCCCCATCCTGGCTGTTGCCGGGGGCCCTAATACAACCTAAATGAGTAAATTGATCTGTTACTTTAGTTACTTGTGTCTCTAATGTCACATCTGCTTGAACTGTTGTTGATGTCTTCAACATATTTGTCTTTTCATAACATTTTTGTAGGTTAGATGCTATAGTTGCTAATCTATTATGCCAATTCCATGAAAAGTTTGAGTTCCCCACATACAATCTCTAGGGAAAACGTATGTAAATTAAATCAAACCAAATTTACAATTTCACGGTCATTCATAAAGCCGGGATAGAGCTTTTGAAAGCAGCGTAGAGCCTGTTGGGGTAGAACAAAATCTTCGAATGGACCCTGGACGGCGATCTTCATCTCCATATTGTGCTCGTGGAAGAAGGTTTCAGACACAACCGGGCATTCCCTGTCAGCACTGAAAGAGACCAGAGCTGGAATTATGCATGTATTAAGTAGCATAAAAAGAGGACAATGTAAATGCGTAAGGCTCATTGTTACTTGTAGTTCTTATACGCATCCTAACACATCGGCCCGCCCCGTTCGGGCTCAGTCCTCCAATGCAGCAGCCATTTCAGTGTATTTACGATCAACGTACCCAGTTTGAGTTTTCATTCTTTTTTTACCTCTGTTTCTACATGCTCGTTGTCGCTTAGATATCCATTTCCAACAGACGGTTAATTGTCTTTGACTCCTTTGTTTCAAAGCCTCCAAACGCAGCGTATTGAGTATGTCTGCCCTGTCCATACGTATTCCTTAACCAGCCTCTGCAAATACGGCCAATCTGTACACTATTTCAAATTTTCTTTTCCCATCTCGGCAAATCCCGGTGGGAACAGCCGCAATTTTCGAGGTGCGACTTCTGGACACTGTCAAGTCATTCTAGTCGGAGTTTGCTAGAATGGATCTTCTTGAGCCTGCTCTTCGAGTTTTTCACTATCATTGCGTGTGTTACTTTCTAGTCCGCCAGCCATGCAAGTGCCCGTGTGAAAGCTGCTCCGTCATCATACGAGAAGTATTTGAATTGAAAGCCTGACCTCAATCTTGTACTGTCTTCACATCCGCCTGCGTTTTGTATGCCCACCCAGACCACATCCCACAAATCACTGAGCCATCAATATAGATTATGATGTCACTTGGTTCAGTGTACTCGTGGATGAGGGCCCTTATTTCAGCATCAGCGTTTGCTTTACTCCATTCCGTTCAATACTTGTCCAGATGTCGCTACATTTTACACATTCTGAGAACAGACAAACATAGTATCACCAAACAGGCACTGAAATAAGAAACTAAGAGAGTGGGGAAACCAAGACATCCAAGAGAAACCATGAGGCGAACGTTGATGAGAGGTGCCAAAGGTGCTGGACTGAAGTCCATACCTGATTTTGAAGAGATTTCACAGGATAGAGGAAATGCAGAAATAGTCTGCTGGCCCAGTGGGATATATACTTGCAAAACAGGACAATGAATGAATGAAGAAATGAATACAAAAATTAATGAAGGAATGAATGAAGGAATTATGCCCATGTACATGGAAATGAATTTTTGTGATCTATGGATAAATCCTCTTAGTCGTTATCTCGTGCTTTTGCACCCAATACACGAGTAACTTCTGCTTGTGCAGCCCAATACACTAGAGTAACTTCTGCTTGTGCACCACAATGCTCTAGATTGAAACTTGCTATCAGATTTAATTTGTGTTTTCCATATAATGTTCCTAGCCATCTGACAGCTTATCTTGCTATTTTCATTGTTTCAAACCAAAAGTTCTTTGTGTCCCGCCCCTACCCCCTCTTCCCCAACCACACCGGTCAAGGCTACTATCATCATCATCTGGTGCCCTGTCTAGTATTGTGGGCTATCATGCCTCTCCACAATCTAAGATCTCATGCAGCATGTTTCAGTTCGTGTGCTGACACACCTCCATGCCACGCAAAAAGACTGCCAAGAATCTTCTCTCGTTGCCTTCCTCTATCCCTCCTTCCACATATCTTTTCAGTGGTCATAACATGTTCCATTTTCCCTCTTCTCATAACATGGCTGAAAAATGATGACAGTCTCCATCTGATGTCTGTGATAAGTTTTCGTCGGACTCCCGCCTCTTTCAAAACTTCTTGGTTGCTCTTTTTGGCTGTCCAAGGTATTCTAAGCATTCTTCTGTAAAACCGCATCTCTGAGGCCTCAAGAAATTGTTTGGCTAGCCTACCGATTGTCCAAAATTCACAGACATATGTTAAAACTGGATGTATGTAGCAAGCAATATTTCTTTTTCTAACCCTCGATGACAAGGATATATTGCACAGGATGTTCTTCATTTTTGCCTGCATTTTTGCAACATACCACTCGCTCAGAAACTCTGCCCTCATGGTCGACTTCGTACTGTTCTCTGAAGACTTCTATGATCTCATCTTTCTTATTCTTGAGCCACTGGATGTCTGGTATGTCTGTCTCATTTCTTCCTGCCTACCTTCTGATACTCTTCACTGGCCACATGTTTAGCGTGTCATGGCTTGTTGACAGAGTTGTAAATGGCCACCTGATGGCACGGGTGTTAGACAATAAATCGATCTAAACCTGCTCAACCAGTGCTGCTGTATTTGATAGAAAGGTAGTGCGGCAGTGTGGGACATGGATGTCGAAGCAGCGGGCCATCATGCCCTGGTTACCTCACATGTCATCATTGCACTGGCTGTCTCTTATTTATTCCCTCCTCTTAGACTCGTTCCCTTAAAATTCTATGACTCAACATTTATGTGGAGCTAGTTGGGGGGGGGGGGGGGGGGGGGGGAGGGGGTGGGGGGGGGGGGGGAGGAGGAAGGAAGTTGGCAGAAATAGGCAAGTTGCGAAGAAAACATACTGAGAAAATCTGATAATATTACAACTGGAAAGTGTTTTATCTAGAATGTCAAAGGAAATTGTTGGAGTCTCAAGACGAACACAAGCGAGAATAAGAATCAGTGAGGAATGTAATGCGGGTGACAAGAAGAGAACTGTAGAAAACAGCAAAACAAAATTGTCTGAGGTAGAGTTTTGACATTCTTTATGAAAATTTAAGATCCGATATTTTCTGATCAGCTACCAATAAATGGACTTTAAAAAAAAGAAGATCTTAGCTCCCAGGTCGACCCCGCCTTAAAGGGTACTAGGTACAGTCCCGGTGCCAACTGGTCCCTAAAATTTAGATCTAGACATATAGGCTCAATACTCCTGCAGGTGTGAAAAGGGTGCCTTCACTGACCAAACAATACTATAGCTAATAGAAATGTTAGTAGGAAAATAAATAAACAGAGGGGGGAACCATTTGAGGCCGTTAAATATTATGAATTAATCAAGTAACAGAAAGTATTGTGAACGGCACTCTTAGAAAGAAGTAGAAAGATAGAAGAACACACTAGACAACATAAAAATC